GGAGCCCGATGCGGGACTCGATCCAGGGACTCCAGGATCATGACCTGAGCCGAAGGCAGTCGCTTAACCAACTGAGCCACCCAGGCGCCCTAAATAGTTTTTTTTAAAGATTTTATTTATTTGAGAGAGAGAAACAGAGTACAAGCAGGGGGAGAGGCAGAGGGAGAGGGAGAAGCAGACTCCCCACTTAGTGAGGAGCCCAACATGGGGCTCGATCTCAGGACCTGGAGATCATGACCTGAGCCGAAGGCAGCCTCTTAACCATCTGAGCCACCCAGGCGCCCCTGTACTAAATAGTTCTGAGAAAAATATTCAGTAAATCATAGTCTTACCAGAAACAGCACCTATCTCTTGGACTAATAAGAATATTTTGGTCACAAAAGGTTATATAGAAATCCTTATTTTGCATGAATGTGCACTATCTTGGCAGTGACTATAGGAGTAAGATTTTAACAAAGGATCAACTTACTGCTGAAGACCAGGATCATCAGTTAAGTGATGTGGACTGTCCACATCAGGACATTAACAAGATTAATTATTGGTGGAGTGAAAGAGAACTTTACCAGGTTGTATTATATATGACAGGGTGTATTTATAAAGAAGAAGAGCAGTTTTCTCCCAGTTGTCTGGACAAAGCTGGAGTTGCCATTTTTGGTCTGTTTTTACTTGTTTTATGTCTATAATAACAGATCCTCTTGGTAAAAACCCACCCTAGACACAGTGGTGGTTTTTTGTTGTTGTTGTTTGGTTTTGTGTTGGGTTGTTGTTGTTTGTGGTTGATAGAGAAAACTACATATTGCCACCTTGATATGTTTTCTTATTTGGCTTTCTGTTAAAGGGAGATACACAGGTCAGTGAAACAGAATAGAGAGTCCAGAAGTAAACCCATGTATATATAGTCAATTAATTTATGACAAAGGAGGCAAGAATATACAGTGGGGAAAGGGTAGTCTCTTCAGTAAATGGTGTTGGAAAACTGGACCACAATCTTACATCATATACAAAAATTAACTTAAAGTGCATTAAAAACTTCAATGTAAGACTTAAAGCCAGTAAAACTCCCAGAAGAAAATACAGGTAGTAAGCTCCTTGTATTAGTCTTAGTGAGGTTTTTTGTTTTGTTTTTGTTGTTGTTTGCATCTAACTCCCAAACTAGGAGTAATAAAAGCAAAAATAAATGAGTGGGACTACATCAAACTAAAAAGTTTCTGTACAGAAAAGGAAACCATCAACATAATGAAAAGGTAAACTACTAAATGGGAGAAGTTATTTGCAAATCATGTTTCTTTTTTTTTTTTTTTTTAAGATTTTATTTATTTGAGAGAGAACAAGCAGGCGGAGAGGGAGAGGAAGAGGGAGAAACAGACTCACTGCTGAGCAGGGAGCCCTTTGTGGGGCTCGATCCCAGAACCCTGGGATCACGACCTGAGCTGAAGGCAGATGCTTAACCAACTGAGCCACCCAGGCGCCCCTTGTCATTTGCTTTTTGATAGCTACTTAGAAAAATAAAAATAGCAGAGTCTTTATATTCCAGTAAGAACTGATATCTGAAACTAATATAATGTTACATGTTGGTTATATCTCAATTAAAAAAAGACACCCAATTTTTTTTTCTGAGTAAAAATGAAATTTTTTTATATATATCATGCTTAACTATTTAAAAAAAATTAGAAGTCATAGGTTATGTTTTGAAATGTTATTTACATCCTGAGAATTAAAATATGAAAATTATACTCTTCCTATATGACTGATGTATCTTTAGTGAAATTAAAAAAAAATTCCATTTCGCTATATTTCATTTTTTTATTGTGTTGAATTTTAAAAATATTTTTTAACTGAAGTACAGTTGACAATACAGTGTTAGTTTCAGGTGTACAAAGTGATTCAAAAAGTCTGTTCTGCTCACCATGAGTGTAGCTACTGTCTGTCATCAAACAATGCCCTTTCAGTACCACTGACTATATTCCTTATGCTGTACCTCATTCCATAACTGGAAGCGTGTATGTCGCACTCCTCTCCACCCATTTTGCCATTCCCCCACCCTCCTTCCTTTGGTTATACATGCTTAGGGGACATTTTTGTTTGTTCATTTTATTTACTTCCATGGTATAGATAGGTTTCTTCTATTTTACCATACTGAGAGACAAGTTTGATTGTTTCTTTTTTTTTTTTTTACCCACTCTTCTTCATTCTGACTGAAGGTGGAACTCTTTGGGGACCTTTCTCCTAATAGTATCTTTGTTTTGGATGGTTTCTAGGTTTTATCTCCTGTTTTATCTCCTGTTTCTTTACTAGGTTGGATCCTCCAGGTCTCTGGGATTCAGCAGGAACTCTCAAGTTGAAATCAAATTTACCATTCTCACACCTTTCCGAATTCCTGATCTCACTTCTTTGGGGCTTCTGGAATGTTTCATGTGTGTTTGCTCAGCAAAATGTTAGAAAAACAATTTTTTTTTTGCTTTGTTTTTAATAGGAAGAACGTTCAGGGTATCTATTCTCCATTATGCCGGTAATGAAAGTCTCTACTTGCTCAGTATTCCACAATATGGATGTGCCATAATTTTATTTTATTAATTTATTTTTTTAAGGATTT